TCTGCAAGGCAGGGCCGCAGCAAGCAAGCCGGTTTGGGTCAGGCAGCTCCAGAAGGACTGACGACGGTTTCACATGCTGACCTTGTTTCGACAATGCCTTTCTGGCACGGCATGCTTGGCATTGGAGAAGCTACAGAGAAGACATCCAACCCAAAATTCCCTCACAAGTAAAAACGGATCCGATGCTTGCTCAAGACAGTGCCTTCTATGCTCTTGGTACCCACTGCCAGACATTGCTTAGACGGATGGACGTGACCTGGTTTGCAGTACTTGTAGAGTTGCAAGGACGGCGAGGAGTTTGAGATCATAGGCAATGCGTTTCAGGTCAAAGGTGTCTTGACAAACGCAGCGACCTCAGCTGCGCCACTTTTTGCGAAGGATCACCTCAGCTTTGTTTTACCTTCTGGAATGTTGCTTACGCTTCGCGAGAATGTCAGGTGGATGACCTCAAGAAAGCCCTGCTCTTAGAGCTTGTGAGCCTCGCTAGCCTTGAGCTTTCCATTGTGAGCTGTTTTGCAGAGGGGCGATGACAAAGATTGAAGTTTTGAGTGATTTCAACTCTGAGCATTGCTTGAGGCTATCAAGCAGGAGAACCCAAATACTGTATCCTGCGATGCCTATCAAATTGACATTTACCGTCAAGAGGAGAGCTTTGCTCACATCAAAACACACATTCACACACACATTTGCATTCTCGTTTGTTCCACACTCTCACCTCGCCCTCTCAGCTTGACTCTGCAGGAAGGGGGCTGGGTCAGAGAAGATGAAGAAGCAGCAGTCAACCGCGGCAAATCCAAGCCGAGCACTCGGATCCGATGCCTTTCAACTTCGGGTTTTGCTGTCGCCCAGCTCTCAGGGCAGATTGCTACGGATTTGTGCTACCAGCTTGAGATGCATCAGACTGGGTGCCTTCCTTAGCACAGCATGTTTGACACTTGTGAACTTGCACCATTGCGCGTCCTAAGATGGCTTTTGTCACTTGCTCTTCTCGGCTGAGGCAATGCTGGTGCACAACGTGTCACCTCGTACCGGAAAATAAAGGTACAGCTGCGGCACAGTTGTTTCGTTGCAGCGCGACTTTGCTTGACTTAAAGAGTTAGGGAGGTCAATGCTTACACTTTTGAGCATCATGCTGCGGTCTTCAAGTCAAGCAGGGAATGCCTGCGACGGGTACAGGACCAGCAACAGTTCCGGCGCTGGTCGACATCTCTTTCACCGAGGCATCCCGTCTGCCGAAGTGTGCAAATGCCAAACTTCGAAGATGTGAGGAGGAAAGCGCGCTACTTCGAGCATGCTTTTTGAAATGGTGCTCAACTGCAAGCTTTGGAAGGCCATGAGTTCTCAAACCCCGCTGCTTTGCAAGGTTTTCTGCTCAAATGTTGGAGCGGGCTGTGGTGGACGACAGCAGGCCTTGACTTGCGCACGAGCTTGCTCAGCATGTAACAATGTTTGTATGTCCATTCATGCTGACAAGCTGGAAGCAAGCTGGAAGTTGTAAACAACCATACCAAAACGCAAGGATGTGTAATGTGTTGGCCTCCTCTTCATGCAACGGCCATGCTGCGTGACCTTTGTGATTGATAAACCACAAAGAGACATGCCCACAGAAAGCCATGGTTTCTCTTCCTGCTCGCGGTAGCTTCTGACCTGTGCTTCATCTGCTTCATTTGTTGAATGACATCTTCCAACAGCATTCCTCAATTTGATAGAGGTGTTTTGAGGCTAAATACTTGCATATTTTTTCCATGCCGTTGGCCCAACATGCTTTTCTTGCGTGTGCTTGGAAGGAGTTGAGCTTGAATGTTTCAGCCATTGACATTGCAGGATGGCCGTGACGGCTTCGAGTTCGCTGGCAATGCCTTCAAAATCATTTGAGATGTAACCGACGTAGATGATTTGAAGAAGGTGCTGACCTCCAGCCAAATTGTACACTTTTAGCAGGCTGTTTTTTAAAGGGAGTGTCACAGATTGAGCAGACCCCTCATGTCTGCAATGTGTCCTGTGCTTTCATAGTACGTGTTCGTGTCCATCGCGTTTCTTTGAGAAACAAACAATTGAGTGAAGATAAACAAAGTAATTAAGCAGGCCTGGGAAACGGACCAGGCTTTGTTGAAAGCGTGTCCATGTGTGGTGTCGCAGTTTTGGGTGAGGCGATCAAGATGGATCGAACAAAGTCAAGTGTGATGCCGATGAAATTGATACAGCCAGCAGGACGGCTCCAGCTCGTTTGACGTTGAAGCCTTGTTTAGTGAAGACTCAGTTTTCTTGCCCGGTGAATGAAAGAGGACAAAGAGGCTTCAGTGAAACGTGTTTCTAAGTCCCCCACTCAATCCAACTACGAACGTGACAAGTGCTGAAGCTGCCGCGCAAATTCGCAAATCACTTTGCCCTGGTCGGACTACGGCTACTGTATTGCTCAAGGCTGGCGTTGCTTTTCTTTGGCGTTTCCTCACAGTGGGGTTTCTCGACACAAGTTTACTCTGTGAGGCTCTTTTTGACCTTTTCGTGCTTTGCATCGGAAAAGATGAGCAGTTGATACAGAAGCTACAGAGCTATTCAGAAGTTTCACTCCATGCAACAAGCACAGGAATCTTGAGTGGAAAAAAGTCATTCTTGAAGTATGCATTGTTTTCGTTGTGCCTCCCGCCGGAGAAGCCGCGCGATCGTGGAGGCCCGGCACGTGTGGCTGATGGGCAGGCAGTGGGGCGTGCTCTTCGAGGTGCGCCACCTCATGCTGGAGCCCCTGGAGGCGCCGTGCTGCCCGTTCGCCTAGGCTGCCTCCAGCAGCTCGGAGCTCGTCGCCCTCGACGCGCCCACGTACAGGTGGCGCAGCGTGAGGTGGCACGACTCCAGGTCCAGGCAGACGCGGTTGTGGAGGGTGAGCCCCTGGCAGCTGGCGTAGGTCACTGCGTGGCTCGGCCGGGTGGTCCAGCCTCACTCTGTCCGGCTCCACTTCCGCCACGGCCACGAAGACTCCTTTTGGGTATCTTGCCCCCGGCCCCGATGAGGCGCAGCCCCGGCCACACCCTCATGCTCTGCGGGCTGTTTTGTGTTATCGATTTATCACACCCATGGGTCGTTACCGATTCAAAACACCCCAAATCTATGTGGATGACCTGGGTCTCCAGCTCCAGCAGCTTCGAGGTTTGCGGCGCCAGGGCCCGGTTCGCCGCTGCGTTGACGGCCATGCGCTTGCTGTGGCTGATGACCAGCGTGGTGTCCGGCCACCCGGGCTTCGAGGGGAACAGCTCTTTCAGCCTCGCCTTGGCCTGCTCCAGCGTGGGGCACCCCTCCTCGCCGACCCGCAGCCAAAGATGCCGGGGTCGGAGCGCATGTTCTCCGTGAGCTCGTGCCGGTGCCCGCCGGCCAGGTCGCGCACCAGCTGGCTGTGCGCTGATGGGCTGCCCGGCCCAGGAGTCCAGCACGGCCGGAAGCTGTCGGAAGTCGCCCAGCAGCAAGAACTTCACGTCGCCGTTCAGCCCCACGCAGGCCAGGTCCGCCCAGAGCGCCATGTCCAGCTGCGTGATCTCCTCCACGACCAGCCAGTCCAGCCGCTGCGCGCTGCCGCCGCGCACGTACCTCGCACCCAGTGGTCGGCCGTCTGCGCGCCCAGCCCAGGTTCTGCGCCGAGCAGTGCGTCTTCGAGACCAGGTGCACCGCCTCGCCCTGCTCGCGCAGCGGCGTTGGCCAGCCCGTTGCGCCTGCAGCGCACCACGTCCACGCCGACATGCAACGCGTCCTTCTTGCACGCCTGCGCCTCGAAGACGAGGGGGGGCAGCTTGGGGCTCCGGGCGTACTGCTCCATGACTCCGGGCGCCACTCGGCTCTCCAGGCTTGTGGGCTGCGCGCTCTCTCTCAGCGTCTTCTCGCTGTGGCAGTCGCCGCGCAGCGCCTGCAGAGTTTGCGCGCTGCCCGCAAAGGCCTGCCGCACCGGCACGACGTGGTCCGGCTCGCAGGTGCCGGCCGTCGGTTCGAATGAAAACGGGGCGCGGCTCCCGTTTTCCAATCGCTATACGTGGCAATCTAATCTGTGACCGCGAGTGAACCAGAGCTTCAAGCCCACCAGCAGTAACAACTTTGATGCAGTTGGAGTGAACAGATGGGACGGAAAGTTGCGGCCATGTGTGCAAGCGTATTTTTTTGTGCACAGCTGGTCATGCGGCTGTTTTGGACCGGTGTATGCTTCGGCCATTCAAGGTTTGCGAGAACATCTTTGAGTGCTGGCCAGGGCTGGCGCCCAGCTTTGGGCACGCTGTTTGATTTCAGTATTTTCAAGCAGGGCAGTTGTTGTGTGCATAATTTGTGTAGTCAGCGTGTTTTGATGATCACTAAGATGCAAATGGTGCAGGTTCGCTGTTGCATGCGTGCCTGTTGACTCGCATGGTGGAATGTTCAACTGCGTTTCATTCTTCTACGTGGCGTGGGAGCAATCGGCACATATGTCAGCAACGCTATCACAAGCCCATCTCATGAACGTGCAGCGAGGAAATCATTGGCGGCATTTGGGCTCAGGTGGGGGGGCCGTGCCTCCGCGCCTCCGCGATTTGGTACCGCCTGGTCCTTGATGCTTGGAGGAGTTTTACGGTGCATGGGAAACCAATAGACAAATGGCCGTGTTCTTGTTCGAGCGTACCTTTTTTTTGGTTTTGCACGAAACCAAAAACCAACCATCCGTTTTTGGGGTCCCACCATTTCGTCCAGGTCTGCAATGAGGAACAAGATGCAGTTTCGCAGTTTGCGCAACCCCGCATTGACAGTTAGGCATTTGCTGATGCTTGATGAACAATGCCGTTTTTTTGGGACATGTCCGTCTCTTTTCTGCAGCGACAAGTTTCAAGATTCGTTTTGCCTCGTTTGATCATGTGTTGAAAAACAGTTGGGGTCATCGCAACTGATGACTGTTTAGTGTTAGTGCTGTTTCTTGATCAACAGTTTTCTTCGCGTAGATGGTATGTAGTGATGCTCTTTCAACGCTATGCAGGAGAAGTGCCTGTTGCTAGGAACATTGACTGGTGCGTGCCGGACCGCAGTTTCAAGGCCGAGCGGCCGGGGTCCTAGATTTGCAGAGAAGGCTGAGAGTCCTGGGATGCCCGTGCAGAATAGAAGATAAACAACTGGCTGACTGGCCCTCTTATGTCAATGTGCAGGAGGAGCAGTGCGATTTCACATGTGAGATTTGACTGCTGGTTTTGGCGGGGGTTGGAGGGTGCGACCAGCAGGTGGTACCATGTCTTTCGAATGGCGGCATGTGAAGTTGGCTGACTGTGCTGATCCATGCTCGCACATTTACAGGCAATGATTACATTACTGCAAGCCCTTGTTTGGTGTATCATGGGTGCAGGTTCATTGTCAAAGGAAAGAGAAAGAGAAAGAGAAAGAGAAAGATAAAGAGAAAGAGAAAGATAAAGAGAAAGAGAAAGAGAAAGAGAAAAGGAAAGGGAAAAGGAAAGGGGCGCCAACACTCGTGTTACCTTTGCAAGAAACGGTGGCGTCTTGCCAACTCGGTCTGGACATCTTCAGCAAGTTCCTGCATAGCAACTGTGCATTGGGTAGTATGCTTATATTGCCAAAAAGTAAGAACTATTGCCAGTCTCTTTCTCTTGCTCTCTTTGTCTCATTTTCTCTTCCTGTTTCTTTTTCGAGGCTATTCTTTCCATTTTTCCCAAGGAAAAGCCAAGGAAAAGCCAAGGGGAAGCCAAATAACCTGTGTTTGTGCATGTGTGTGTGTGTGGGTGCGTGCGTGCGTGCGTGCGTGCGTGCGTGCGTGCGTGCGTGCGTGCGTGCGCGTGCGTGCATCGGTGTGTGCGTGCGCGTGCGTGCGTCGGGGTGTGTGTGTGTGTGTGTGTGTGTGTGTGTGTGTGTGTGTGTGTGTGTGTGAGTGTGTGTGTGTGTGTGTGTGTGTGTGTGTGTGTGTGTGTGTGTGTGTGTGTGTGTGTGTGTGTGTGTGTGTGTGTGTGTGTGTGTGTGTGTGTGTGTGTGTGTGTGTGTGTGTGTGTGTGTGTGTGTGTGTGTGTGTGTGTGTGTGTGTGTGTGTGTGTGTGTGCGTGCGTGCGTGCGTGCGTGCGTGCGTGCGTGCGTGCGTGCGTGCGTGCGTGCGTGCGTGCGTGCGTGCGTGCGCGTGCGTGCGTGCGTGCGTGCGTGTGCGTGCGTGCGGCGGCGGGCGGGCGGCGGGCGGGGCGGGTGGGCGGGCGGGCCGGCGGGCGGGCGGGCGGGCGGGCGGGCGGGCGGGCGGGCGGGAGTTGCCGTCATGTTGAGCTGATTGCGGATCTGGTTTCACTTGGCCCAGTTTCGAGGTCCTGCCATGCACCTCAACAGGCGCGTGGACTCATGTGCTGAGACTGTTGACACGGGAGAGACTGAGTTTCTGCAGCCTCCAGCTGTAGGAAGCTTGTCTATGACTCCGCTGGAGGAAGTTGTATTCTTGGTGCCCTCTAGCTCTGGGCGTTGACATTGTCTCCTGGCCGTACATAAGCCTAGATTGTGTCTCTTCTTTTCTTTTTCCCCCTCCTGAAGCCGTACCGATCTATAGCACGGGCAACGGTCGCTTGCGCGAAGATTCAGTAAGCAAAAGCTGCAATTCGCGAAAAATGACTCTTCATTGAAGGGTGGCAGAGACCAACGGGTATGGACCCTCAACGTGTTGCAGTTTGTACCTATGAATCACCTACTTGCTGCTTTCAAGCTGCAAAGCCTTTCAAGTGGACCTGGCACCGAAGCTTTCATAAAGAACACTTCTCGGTTTGTCTCATCATGAGTGTCCCGGCAAATGGTTCTTTTCTTGGTTTCCAGTGAGCGTAGCTTCTTGGGCACTCCAGTCCGGCCCACTTCGTGCCCGCATGCTGGCTTGCTGTTTTGCAATGGCATGGAGCGCGTCCAAACGCTGGTGATCGGTGCTGGGGTGGGGACCCCGGCGGGTTGAGTGGGGGCTCTTGACCGCTGGCGATATTTGGGATGCTTTGCTTCCCCACAATCAAGGAAAACCGAAAATGGGGGTCCAGCAAAAGGAGATTCTTCTAAAAATTGCAGATTCGGGGGCTCAACGCGAATCATAGGCGTGCGTCCATAGACGCAGGCATGTTGGCACAGATCCAAAGATGTCATGTATCACACTGTGTGTGAAGGGGTGATCAGTGTGTGAGCTGCACTTTGAGACAGACGGGCAAACTGACAAAGTCAACAGTGTTGTTTGGACAGGGCGCGGTTTTCCGACAAAACACGCGAGTGGGGCCCCAATTTTACCGTGTTCCAGGAGACCTTAGTCCGGGGCGCATGTCCTTTATATCATTATATCAGTGCAAGAAGCTTTTGATCCCAATTCTTCCGTTTAACCCGTCTCCTTGTTTCTCTACAAGCTCGATTGCTGGGAGAGAAGGGGAAGCAAGAAGCGGGGAAGGCTAGTCGTGGAGTGCCCTTAATATCCTTTTGGTGCCACCACACCGATCCTGGGAAAACGTACCTGCGAGTTATTTTTGTAATTCATACCTCCGTGCACTGGCTAGCGCGACTTGGCACAATGAGCCGCTACTACCTTCACCTACTCCTCACGGGGAGCTTTTCACAGTGTGTGTGTGTGTGTGTGTGTGTGTGTGTGCGTGTCTTGGTTTCGCGGCGCGGTACGTTTTCACCTTGGTTTCAGGGTAGGTCAAAGGGAGAACCCGCCCATCTTTGACCGGCTTCCCGAATTTCGAGGGTCTCCTTTTGGACACAAAGGAAGACAACGGGCGATCTCCTTATTGGAGGGTCTGAGCTTTGCGAAAAGCCAAGGAAGGGCCACAAAGGGTTCATTACGGGGAGCCCCTTGACCCATCGACGTGCCGGGAGGTGGTGGGCCTGGCTTGCGCGCGGACGCTGGCGCGCAGCGGCCGCGAGGTGGTGCTGGTGGATGCCGCAGCGGCCGTGGGCACAGGACGGATTGTGAAGTCGGTGGTTTCCTTTTTGTACTTCAGATACTTCAGGTACTTCAGAGGGTGACTTTAGTGGCGAAATCAGCTTGAGGTCCATTTCCAGAACAGTCATATTATTCCAGCATGCAATTGGCAATCCTGCAGCTCTGCCCAAGCTGGCTGCAGATGCCGCTGATGCCAGTGATGCGGATGATGCTGGCGGTTGCCAAAGAGCACCTTCAAATGATCACTTGCACCAGAGAGCCAAACCCACCACCGCCAGCATGCTCCCCAAATCGTGTTGTTCATACGTGCCCTCGGCCTGTAAGGCACATCGAGCCGAAACAGTGGCCTGGCTTGCAATAGTTTCTGCTTGCACTTCAATGATGCAACAGAAGGCACGGCTTGGTGGCCCTTCCCAGATGGGCTTCCAGGTTGAACTTCAGGGGGCATGGCTTCTTATTCTGTCCTCTTTCTTCCTGACATGTTTTTCGTGGTCAGTGTCTGAGGTGAGGTGATCCATGCCGGCCTCTACTATCCTGAAGGAAGTCGGAAGGCATCGATCGGAGTGCGCTTCCAGTCGCTTTGCTCGGGTAGATTCGGATTTGGCACAGGTCACCTCAGGTCACCTCAGGTCACCTCAGGTCACCCAACTCAGCGCACCTCAGGTTGCAGGTGCCTTCTTCTCAAGCTGTTAGGCCCATCATTGCCTACGGGGCTCGGAGATGCTGAGAAGCTTCTGCAAGGAGAGGGACATCCAGCACCGCGCCTCGGAAAACTATTGTCTCACCATAGGCTTCGCGGCTTTGCCCCCCCCAAAGTCCATGTGGGCCACGCAAAATATTCCTCGCTTCCCTGAAGGGGCATGGGAAACTGGGGTGGTATCAGGATACTGAAGGGTTTGCTCCGGGTTGAACTTTAGAAGGGAAATCGAAAAAGCAAATACCAAGTGTCACTCGGAGAAATGTGTTGTGCCGAGAAGGGGGGAGGTCTGCAATTCTGATAAGCCCCCATCCCCACTCCTGTTCAGAAAGCTCCCTTGTCACTGGGTTTGGCCGCAAGTTGTAAGAGGATGGGAAAAGGGATGTAAGTTGAAGCATCAACAAACCAATCTGAAAGGGACTGGGTCCCTCGGTTTGGACCATTCTCCTCTTCATGCTTTCTCTCTTTCCATATGTCTTTTGTTCCTTGAGGGGGGGGGGTAACCTTTTGTGTCCATGTGCCCAAAGGGCCGAACTTGGCCCGGACCTCCGTGGGCAGGGAATGGAAATCACCAGAGATGAATCGTCTGGGTATGGGTCAAAATTAAACCACCAGGGGACAGGTTTTGGTCCATTTTGCCACTTACCAGGGTTCCATTTTGGGTACCTATTTTTGACCCACAGCCATCTGAAGAAACTTTGGCGACTCGCCTCAGGCATCTGCGGGAAGCTCATCGTGGCCACCTCCGCTGCGCAGCGCGGCCCGCTGGAGGCACTGCGCAAGAAGGCGGTGAGCGAAACTGGACGTGACGACGTCAGGTAGGTCCTGTCCATTTCTCATCCCAGGTTTTGGAGTTGAACTTGACCATTTGGGGGTTTGTGGGTGTCCCGCAGCTCTCTTCTTTGGAGCTTCTGCCTGAATTGTGAGCTTGCGGGTAAATAGGTTGGGGGCGAGCAAGCTCACCCATAAAGGTCTAAGAGGATTCCGGGTTTCCGCTTTGCCAAATAAATATGAGTTTGCTCGGGTGGGTTTGTGGGTTTCAAAAGGCCACCAGTTGCCATGGGGTCCTGAACCTTGGGACTACGGGACCGAAATGGTCCAGAATTAATTTTCTTAACGTGGCAAAACGTCTAGTCCCAAGGGGTTGCCAAAAGGGATTCGCTCTTGCGGAAGATCGGACTTGTCTATCTACGGATGGATGGATGGATAACGAATCGACCGAGCCTTGCTTGGGGCCGGGGTTTGAATCTCGCGGGGTTTTCCTCGCGGGGCTCCTGGCCTATTCTTAGACAGACTCGAGAAAGGGCGGTGGGTCTCCCGCAGGCGGAGAAGAATGGGGTGCCGTTGGAGAGGCTGCGGCCGGAGGAGGTGAAAGAGATGGAGCCGGAGGAGCTGTGGCTGTGGGGCAGGGGTTGGGGATGCGATGAGCCCTTTGTTTCCTACACCAAAGCCGTTTGTTCCTTACCGAAAGTGGACTTGTTTTCGCACCTCCAGCTTACCTTATGATTCATGGGCAACATAGATGTCCCTTTCTATGTTTGAATTGCTTTGTAAGGTGCATTCGTGTTGCGCTGAATGACACCTGTTGGGGCTGGGCGTTGGGGGGGGTAGGGCAGCACATCCCATTTTCATTTTCAAGTGCCCTTTGATTGTTTACGGGGGCTGCAAAAAGTCCCATGCATTGACCGGAACGGGCGGGATTGCCTTGAAAGACCTGCTTGCTTGCTCCTACAACGGATGGTGAACTCTTTGGGTAGACCATACTGTGGATGGGCACAATTCTGCAGGCAGGTAGGTGGTTCATTCACCAGTATTAAAATCGGGTTTCACCCATTCCAACTGGTGCCTGGCATAGATTTTGTCTGTCCACGGCGGTTTCCATGGGCAGGTCTTCTGCCTGGAAGCGTTGCACTCGCCGCGGACAGGCCCGGATCGCTGTTTAGCACGACTCGGACACTTGTGCGGGGACAAGAATCCCTTTAATCATGTCAAACAGAATAGCCTGCCTGCATTCTTAGGCTACCTGACTGACATCGTTCATGTGTGGATTAGCAACTTACTCAGGTCACACCTATTGTGCGGGTTTCATGGAATACGTGGTATGCTCGGATTGCCCGGTTTGCAAAGGTTATATCAGTCACGGGTATGTTAGCAACTTGGGGTAGCAGCTTTGCTTCGGTTCAATGGTTCGCTCGAAGTATTTGCTGGAAAAGGCTTTGCTGCCGCTGGAGGTGAAACAATTACTGTAGGTCACGTGGATGACATGCATTTTACACATAGATTTGGTTTAATGGGTGACATAATTTCAAAGGGACACCAAAGGGATACCTTCTTAAGGGTCCCCTATAGTTGGACTTGTCAAGATTTATCGGGCTTGATGCGTCATACAGTCATGCAGATCGCTGCAGGTCTCATTGTCATGGGTTAGGCCTCATGCGACGGTCAGACTGCTTGGTCATGGGTAGCCTTGACCTCAGGAGCCTCATGACACATTTGCACTTTGGTAGAGACATGGACTCTGCAAAAGCGAACTTGCGCAACTATTACTGCAAGGCTTCCTCCAACAAATCCCTGACACAGTTGTATGGGTTATATCGGCAACACGGGCTTGACTTTCATAGGCTATGCTTGTGTTTGCTGCAGCTAGACGCCAGACAATGGGCGACATTCGCTACTGTATGTCTGGAGCTGCGTCTTTCGATGCGCAAGAGTTGGCAGGATGTCAGTCCA